ATGTAACTGTACTAAAAACACAGTCATACTCTACCTACCTGCCTCAGGGTCTTATATGGCCCCCACATCCTGGTATCTGAGCACCTCACAATCTTAGTGAGACACTATTATCCCTGTTTTACAGATGGGGGAACTGAGGCACAAAAAGACTTGCTTAGCTTCATGTAGGAAGTCTGTGGCAGAACAGGGAATTGAGCCCAGGTCTCCAAAGTGCCAGGCCCTAGCCACTGGACCATCTTTCTTTTCTCTATTAGTGAATTCAGAGACAGCAGAGATTTCAATGAGAATTGAACTGTTGAAAGCATAAGTCCCTACTGCTTGAGCTAAAGGAGTGTCTCCTTTAGTTGTGAGTAAGTCCATTATAGTCACTGGGGTTATCCCCTAGTGGGAGACATGATCACATGCCTTAAGCCAGTTTATTAAAAATGCAGATATGTGGCATGAGTCTGTGGGAACAGGTGCTGCTTCTTTAACGACATAAATCTCAAAATTAACAAGATTACAGTTGGTATTTTTTCAGTGGCCTCTCCAATTTTCTCTGTATTTGAGTCCAGTACATTAAAAAAAGTGAAATTTCTCAGTGGAAGCTACTTGGACCATTCCTTATTTGTATGGTCTGTGTTATGCCTTCAGAACTGTCTCCTGACTTCTGATACTAAAGATGTCATCCTTGAACTCTCATTGTAAATTGTGGTTGTGAAAGCTCCTGTAATGTGAGTGTATGTGTATGCTGTCCCTGGGTGTATACGCTAAGGTTATGGGGTGGATGGCCACAAGGAGTTCAGATTTAGATTTTTGGTGTTCAGCACAAAGAATGACACACTTGAATCTCTTCTCTTGTCCATGCTCCTGCACATTTGTACCCTTTCTAGTGTCCTACCAAATATTCTGCTGAGACACATAGTGGCAATTACCAGATGCCATGTTTGTGAGGTTAGCACACAACAGAAGCCCCTACTGATTCTGTTTGTAGGAAGTAGAGATGAGTGTGAGCCACAAGGTTAGGTTCCAGATCCAAACTCCCCCAGAGTCCAAGGGCGACTGGGTCTGGGATTTTGGTTTGATCCATTTTAGAGACGGAGACCAGCTGTAAGTTAGGGTTCCTCTCAGTAGTGCAAGTACAGTGATATGGTCCGGTACGCCGTACCTGTAAGATATTTATAGCCGGTACTCCGTACCACAAAGATACAGAAGGAGCAGAACATGGGGCTTCCCAGCAGCTCCACACCAGAGGACAGGGCTGAGGGCAAGGCTGGGAGTGGTTAGGCTTGCTGAGTGGCAAGGCTGGGCTCTCCCAGGAATCACAGTGGTGAAAGAAGCAGAACATGCAGCTCCTCCAGCATGGCTGTATCACCCCAGCCTTGACCCCAGCCCTGTCCTTTGGTGAGGCTGCTGTACAGACCCCAGACAGGAGACGCAGCTGCGTGGAGGGGCTGGGGGTGGGGCTGGTACAGCCGCCCTGGAAGAGCTGCCGGTGTGAGGTTACCCAGGGGCCCCATGTTCTGCTTCTTTCATCGCGGTGGTTCCAGAGAGCCTTGCGGTTCAGAAGTCTCCAGCGCAGCGGGAGGAGGACTGAGCCCCCACCCTGGTAACGTGGGATGGATCATGGGGAGGGGATAGGGAGAGCGCAGGCGCCCCCAGCTGTGGGTGCGGCAGGGAGGAGTCACGTGGGGAGGTCATGTGCTCCCCTTTAGCTGGTGTGTCCCCCCCACCTTTGTGTCCCTCCGATGAGTGCAGCGTACTGGTAAGAGATGAATTCTACTTGCACCACTGGTTCCTCTGAGTTTTAGGTTGATCAGATCCATTGCAGTTGTAGGAGGAGTCTGTGGCAAAGTTCAGACCCAGACTGGAACTTCCTCAAAGTTCAGAGGTGATCGGATCTGGGGGTTTGAAACAGGTTTATCTGAGCTGGAAAAAAAACAGCCAATGGAGAATATGAATGAGCTTGGAAAATCATGACATCACCAACAAATACTCCACACCCTTTCAGTGTATTTGTCCTTCTGGATAGTTTGAATCAGTAGAATATATGCATCAGGCTGAAGAACCCTAGAAACACTCCTTAAAACTAGAAAGTGCAAGTTCAGAGAGAAATACTCCAGCAGATCTGTCAGGCTGGTGAAATCTGGTCAGTGTGTATTAATGAGGCAGTTGTGTTGTTTTGGGCAAGTTTATAAAGCAGCTTCTTGTAAATATGCAGGTGGAAATCATCCTTCACTGTCTCCTCCTGAATGAGAAATGTTCTGTTTGAACTGAACCAGGGACCTCAGCCATTGGTGATGGAGTTTTCCTTTTATTTTTTTTTATTGTTTTTTTTTAAGGGAAGCAGAAGAATCCATCTTACATCACACATAACACAAACCTACACTTACTCCTGACACACATCAACACAACACAGCCTAGCCTACACTTACTCTAGACCTAGTCAGAAAATGGTAAATATTTTGTAGTCTCAGTCTAGCTCCCAGTAAACAGAAACAGAACGTCACAGAAACCATTAGCATCCTCAGCAGAAGCCATAGTGTGAATGAGCCATGGAGCTTGGACTCCCCTCCCACCCCCAAAATATTCCTTCCTTGCCAGGATGGGCTGAGAGTGTGGGGCGAGCTTGCACAGTTACTGTCTGGGCTGTACCTATTCTATGAGCTAAAGATCCAGCACAGTGGTGGACAATCTGTGGCCCGTGGGCTGCACACAGGCCGTCAGGGTAATCCACTGGCGGGCCACGAGACAGTTAGTTTATATTGACCTTCCACAGGCACGACCACCTGCAGCTCCCAGTGGCCGCGGTTCGCCGTTCCCAGCCAATGGGAGCTGCGGGAAGCTGCGTGGGCCGCAGGGACATGCTGGCTGCTGCTTCCTGCAGCTCCTGTTGCCTGGGAATGGTGAACCATGGCCACTGGGAGCTGCGGGCGGCCATGCCTGCGAACAGTCAATATCTCGCGGCCCGCCAGTGGATTAACCCTCGCGGGCCACAGGTTGCCCACCACTGATCCAGCACCTTTCACCAGCGCTGAATGTGACAGACTGGCAAAGTGGGTGGCAAGTCTGGTGCCAGGCCTGCTAGAAGGTAACCGCCTCTGCTGCCAGAGAAAGGACTTTCTCTTTTAGGGTCAGTGGTTGAGGCCTGTTCTTTGGTGTGGAGGTTCAAACCCTACTGGCAACTTAGGAAGGAGTCTGTTACATAAACTCACCCAATAGACAGAGGGGAAAATAAAATAAGCCCAAAAGCAAACATCTATTTCTTTAACAGAGCTTTAAATGACAGCTCTGACCTAGTGCCTGATGCTAATCTCACACTGGTGTAACTCCATCAGCTTCAGTGGTGTGAGGTCAGGATTGGATCCCAATCACTTTGAACGCCATCAGGAGTACTTCTATCGCTATTCTATTCACTGTTCTATCATGAAGGTGTCCTGACAAAAACACTGCCTCCTGCTGATGTGACTATCATGTAACCTACACTAACCTACTATGCGGCTTTGTCGCCTTCTAAGGATTGGATCACGCAGAAGTTTGTCTGAGTCTGCTACTGCCTCCCTTCTAAGGAGGCTGGTCTTTTAGCTTAAGTAGCCAAAGCTTATGCTTTTTACATCTAGAGGTCTTGAGTTCAGACCCTGGATATCTCCTCTGGGTCGGGGGTGGTGTTGTTGTATCCCACGGCAACAGAAGTAACATGCCAACTCAGATCTTTAATGACTAGGATCATGTGATGAGAGAAGATGGCTCAAGGAGGCTTGGGCACCATCCACTTAAATTAAAGAGCCTAGCATCTTTCTGAAATCTTGACAGTTTTTAATTTCAATGAAAATGACACTCAGTTCTTGCATGTCATCCTGGTCTCCATGCATAAACTTCCTGAGTAAATTCTCAGGAGAGATTTCCTGGAATGCATCGAAGATCAGCCCTGATTTTCACATTTCAGCATGTAAGGTATCTGCATTGGCAGTGTTTCTACATTCGTCTTACCCTTACTGCCATCAATCATTTGCTTTTCAGAATTCACTGAGTGTAGAGAGGGGACAGGAACTGGGAAACAGAGTATTGTATATTTATCTTTAAGGACCTAAATGACCTGTGGGGGTCGGGGGTGGGGGGAAAAAGAGGGTTGTTTTGTATTTTTGTTTTCTTGGTGTAGGAATCAACTTTCTGGATGGTTGTAGCATAAATAAAGTTACTACAATCCCTTTTCCCTTTACGCCTGCGTCCACGGGATTAAGGTATAATTTAGCTCTCTGGGTGGAGAAATCTATTCACAATGCAGCACGTGCAGTACCAAAGACAAAAAGATTGTGCAGTGAGGTATTTATAATTTGATAGCATACATGGTGCTGTGCAGAACTGAGAAGAGATAGTCCCTTACTCCTCAAAATGTACTGTCTCTTTTTCAGACCCACACTGAGGTTCCAAATGTTTGGATGTGGGTTGCTCCTTATGACAAGGGGCATAATAAGCACTCAGCTTCTCTGCCTGTGGCACATAATAGTCTAGTCTCCTGTGGGCTGTAATGCTTTGGTCTCATTTCAGTTGTTGGGTTTGGTGTGCAGGTGGCTGGATGGTGCTGGTGGCCTGTGAGATACAGGAAGTCAGATGAAATGAATCGGTGGTTCCTTCTGGCATTAAACTCTGTGACTGTGTGATGCTCTTGCCCTCTTTATCCCCTCCCTAAACTGAACAGCCTCCTGGAAATAACAGCATCATTCATCCAAAGATTAAATCCACAATACACACAGTGCCTTGATCAAGGTTACACAAGAAGCCTGTGGACTAGAAGGCAGGTCTCCTGAGGCACCATCCTGTGCTCTAACCACTAGACCACACGCTCTGTTCCATGAAGTGATGTATTTTCGGAACTGCTTTAAAAGCAGAAGAAACTGCCCTGCTCCTCACTGCCATACTAAATGGAAGACTCATTTCTGGTTCCAGCTTTTCCTTGGCATTTGACTGACAGCCAACTTCCCTTCACTGCCTGGTCACTGGAGCTGATTAGTATGCGAAAGGGCCCGCCTCACATTGAGAGATGCAGCAGCAGCAGCAGCTTGCCGAGCTGTCACACTCACACAGGCTTCTTATCTGCACTGGCTTGATGAATTAAAAAGCAAGCCAGCCAGCAAGAAAGAGAAGGAGAGAGAGAGGGGGGAAGAGAAAGAGAGAGAACCTTGCAGCCAGCATTTGCCTTTTGGTTTTTTTTTAAAGGAAGGATTTTGCGTCTGAAGTGATCACTGCTTGTGATGAGGCTTCACTTAGCAGGCTCCAGAATGAGCTAGAGGCGGCAGATAGGGGGATAAACAAACAAACAAACAAAAAATCAGACCAAACCCAAATACCAACCAGCAAACCAAACCAGGAACAGTTTTCTCCTTTATTCTAGCATGGTGGATGTATGGACAGTCTTACAGAGCAGAGGTTGACATCTCCAAATCTACCAGCCCCACATCTTGAACACTACAGTGTTCTGCATTGCACCATGACCTTGGATGTTCAAACGGTGGTCGTTTTTGCAGTGATCGTAGTGCTGTTGCTTGTGAATGTCATACTCATGTTCTTCCTGGGCACTCGTTAAATGGATTTTTTCTCCTGAGCTGTTGGGGGCTACTGCCACTAGCAATTCAACAAGAGAGCGAGAGAGAGAGAGAGAGAGAGAGAGAGAGAGAAAGGACAGAGAGAGAGAGAGAGAGAGAAAGAGAGAGAGATTTCTTACTGAGGGGGGAAAACGCACTGAGCTTCAACATGGCCTCGCTGTGATATGTATGACGTTGGTATATTATCTCTCCGTAAATCTTTTGTCATGTCTTGTCTTTTAAGTATGCCTGTAAGTGTAGCTGCTTATTGCCTGGATTTTAAATGTGATAAATAATAATAATCCATTCATATATCTCTTGGTTACAGATAGCTAGAGACAGCTGTACATACCTAGATAGAAACAGAGTAAAAAAAAATTGTTAAAAGAATAATCACTACGTGTGTTGTTTTGATTCCTTTAAAAAATACGGACTCCTGTTAAGAACAGAATAGGGATTTTTTGGTCAACATTTCTTGCAAGCAATTAATGTCGAGTGTCTCTGAGAGCAACTATGTAGGTACCAGGTGAGAGACGGTGTGTATTTAATTGAATCTAGAGCACTGGCCGTTTTTAAAAGGTGGAAAGAAATCCTAGCTGAGAAATGAATGTTATTAAATCTTTGCTAAAATAGCATTCAGCCGCAAAAAGGGGAAGAAATTTGGTTGATTGATTCATTTCTGTTGCCTTGACAGTGTGACTGGAATACTCAATGTTCAGTCCAGAAGCCTCCAAATTCTATGTTCCCACCAGTTTAGCAGAGCTCTTTTCTTTAGACATATAGCAGAGAATGAAACATAACCAGCTGGTTTTTTTTTTCTGTTTATGTGTGTTTCATATCTTTGCAGAATGGGAAGAGATCAGAGATGAAAAGTAATGCATGCTTTGTTTTCCTGTGTTAAAGCAACAGATGCAAGGGTTTTGCTCTTGTTTTGATTTTTTTCCTAAAAATATTAGTTAGGCTTCCTTTTTTTAATGTACAAATGAAAAATCTTTGCCCATCTCAGGGATAACAGGATTCCAATATGGGCGGTTTTTGGCGACTTCATTTACATTGATTTTCTTGAAAATGAAGTGCTAAGTTACACATTATAGGCTCAATGAGAAGTTGTCCACTAGTTCAAGGTCCTTCTGTTAGGAAATGTCCAGAGCAAAATGAAATTGTTTGCAAGCTGGGTAACAGGGTGGTTTTGGAGGTGGGTTTCAATGCACAAAGTTTAGTAGCAATACAAAATGTGCTGGGAAGAGTAATAGCTTTTCTCCATGCAAATACCATACACAGAAGCAGTGTTTCTGTGTGAAATCTTGTCCACTCTTTATTTATTATTTCTGCTACAAGAAAAGATCCAGGCTTGTTGAAATAAACAAATAAAAATTAAAATAATCACAGCATGTTTTGGAAATGTTTGCGTCTCACGATAATATTAACTGTGAGTGTATTTCTGTGATAATATAGGCAGTTCGAACTAGCTCCATCTGTCTACATTATTTTTCCTATGTACTCCATTAGCTGGAATAATACCTATTCACAGAGCCATAGATGGAGATATAGATATAGACATATATAGACATATATATCCAGATGAGTATGTCAGTTACAAGTTAAGCAAAAAGTTTTATGTATAGTTAAGTGGATAGTTATAGTAGTTAAGTGTCAAAATTTGAAATTAAAACAAATGCTGCGAATCTGACACTTTCAAACCTGGCTTTAATGGCAAATACAGGGAAGAAAAAAAAATCACTAGGGTCAAATGTTGTAGCATTCAGTCACGTAAACCAGCAAGAAATGTTTAATCAATATAGCCAGTTTTAATACATATTTTATCTATTGATCTATAATAACTCCATAAATTGTGACACAATCCCATAGCAACAACTCCAGTGCCTGCTGGCTGTCTTTCCTTTTACTCACTTGTAGCTATCCATGGAACAGGTGATTGCTTCTGAGTGGGTCTTCTTTTATAAAAATCATCATGATGATGGTTTGGATCGCTTAACAAGTAGAATTTGCTTTGTTTTCTATTTTAGCAATCTGATGTCAATATACGCATGGGTTGGAGAACCTCTTGGAACCAGATTGAATGAACATAGGTGACCATGAAATGGGAATTCTTTGCCTGGGATTTCTCCCTTTAGAAAACTAACAATCAAACAACCCCCCAAAATGATTTGATTTAATAATTTTGAATGGCATAGTTATTTAGAGGAATAGGGGAGGAAACATAAAAACCAAAAATCAGGGAAAAAAGCAGAGAGAAAACTGGTCTTAACTGTCTGAATTTTTTTTAAGGTTAGATTTTGGCATGAAGGTTTACCTTCAAATAAGATTTGTACAAGGAATGCTTGGTAACTAATGTGTATTTACATCTAGCACACTCACATTCCTAATGCAGAGATTCTGGCTGACATTTTGCATTCTGGAAATGTGTGTGTATATGACAGCGTATGTTAGAGTATGTGTGAGCATGCTAGTATGTAAAGGGTCTGTGTCTGAGTGTGTTAGCTTGTATGCTACAATTTTGATTCCATTAGTGGTGCGGTTTTGTATTTTGTGTTGCTAGGGGATTAAAATGGGGGTACAGTGTGTGGAATGAGGGGTGCCAAATGCTACATTCAACTCTAATAATTGTAGAGTGATCACTGGGTATTGTTTTTTTTATTTCATTTTATTTAAAAATAAATAAATCTGGAACCTGGACATTGGAAAATAATTTCAATTTAAATCTTGTATTTTATTTTCCTGAAGGCTAATGGAATCAAAGAAAGCAGATTTATATGTAACAGTGTGAAAATGAAAGCTTGGGAGTAGAAAAGTTTGTGTGTCATTTAGACAGTGTTGTTCTTATTGTATGGGTAGGGGTTTCTCATAGACTTTTGGATGGGAAGGGAGGAAAAGGGCATTAAAAATGAGTCTGTTTTTAACCCAGCCTGTTCATTAAAGGCCAGTCTTTCAAATGGCCCTCAACCCAGCCTCTACAATCACGTCTTGGTGATGTTGCAACTGCAATTCTGCATTTAAAAAATATAGCATTCAGCCGTCTAACTGCTTGATTCTCAGGAGCAATTAGCTAGTTGTCTTTATTAAAGAGGAAGAAATATCACAATATTCCACATTCATGGTCCAAGCCATGACTGCTTATAATAATGAAGTGGTGTTAGTTGGGGTGACAACATGGCTAGATGTCCATATTTTATTACCTTCACTCTCAAATAATTGCACTTGCAATTTCAGGACCTGATCATACAAACACATATGCATATGAGTAGCTTACATACTTGAACTCAATGGGTCTATTCAAGTTACTTGCATGTATAAGTGTTTGCAGAGTTAGGGTCTCAGAGGCGGTTGTGGAAGTTTGGCCCTTTAAGTCTCTCTTTCCCTCGATCTGAACAGGGTGTGCTTCACTTTTGTGGGAACACTCAAGCCAGAAATAGGGTGAGAGGGGAAAGTTACCTTTTAATTAAAAATAAAAGAGAGAGAGAGAGAGAGAGAGAGAACATCCCTTCTGTAATATGCTGGCCATGAAAATTACCCCCTATTAATCCCATAAAAGCTTTCCATTGACTGCTACATGTATATGTTCGAGCTGGGGTGACTGGAGACCTAACTCACTCTTTGTCAGCTTCAGCAGGATTCAATGTTATTTCAAGAAAATGCCTCTGACTGTATCATAGCAACCCTTGTATCACACAGTACATAAAAAGTCCATTCCTCCTGAGCTTTAATCCACCTTCTTAAAGATCCAGGCACCTTTCTAGATAAGGGGAAACACGGGTGCATATTTTTCCTTCCCGATGCTTCAGAAAAAGCGAATATGTCACCATTATCAGTACTAAACCTATTATTCTTTCCATTCTTCAGTGTGGTTTTAATTCTGATTCTTTAAGGCTAACAAAAGGGATTAAAAAAAAAGCTTTTGCCACCCCTCTTGATATCCCCCCCGTCCGTTTTAAATCTCACATGACAAGTAAAAGGGGACGGGACAGCTCAGAAGTCTCTGACGTGATTGTTCTTTTCTGTCCTGCCATTTGGATTTTACCCTGGGATGGCAGCAGTGCAGCATTTGTTTATGCTTTATAGTGAATGAAGAGCTGAGTAGATTCCAGTCCTTTTGTGGGAACGCAGAGGTGCTTTCTCATCCCATAGATGAATGTTGTTAAGAGCTGCATGTTCACCTGACTCCTGCCCCCATCTGTTTGCATAATGTGGTTATATTTCTTTTTGGATCAGGTATTCAGTACACAGCCCAACTGCTGTGTATAATGTCTGAAGGAAAATTGCCAAAAATCCATGTAAGTTTTTTTTTAATTTGTTAAATTAACAGAACCCATCTCTTCTTTACTGTTCATTTCATTGTATTGTTGTTCTTTTATTTTTATTTAGTGAATGCTGGTTGTGATTGGAGATATAGTTCTTAATTCTCTGTATACCGTGCTTGCCTGCTTGCATGTATGTATCTATGTACCTATGACCGTTCTGTATTTGTATATGCTATATATTGTTAGTAATGCATCTGGGTAGAGGAGGAGGGGTTGTCTTTTTTTTTTTTTGTATTCACAATGTATATCTTTCTGAACTGGCTACAGTAATTGTATTCATTGTACATCTCATCTAATGGGATGTTCTCCAGGCTACTTTATAAGTTGTGTCATTTGCTCTCTTTCATATGAGATATTCCCAACTGTCCAAAGTTAGGAAGATTGAGGAGAACTATCAAATTATTATCAATAATAATAACCGTGCTGCTGCAGAGAGGATGTGTTTGTCTTGGGGGTCACAGCTGGTGACTGGAGGACAGGTCTCCAGGTAGCCATTCCCAACTTTGCCACTGACTTTCTGAGTGGCCTTGGCCAAGTCACTTCACCTCTTTGAGCCTTGGTCTCCAGGGCTGTAAAACTGGGATGATGCTACATCAGTGGAGTATTGTGAGGAACGATCAATTAATGTTTTCTCATATACTAATATGTCATTTGAATGTAATGTTTTATTATTCTATTCAAACGGCTGAGCTGTGTGGGGCATTAGTTGGCTAAAGGGCGTCTGCCCATACCATAAGCGGTTGGATTTAGTATTTTGTTTTAAGGGAATCCTGTTCTGGCCTGTGAGCTGTAGTGATTTATGCTGCCAACTAAAAATAGATGCTCCTGGAGGAAGAGCTGCTGAAGAAACCGTGAAGGATCTTTTTTTCATGTGACTACGAGCTTTTCCCTGAGAGAAAAAAGATTTTATTTTTAATTCTAGAGAACCCTCAGACTGCTGGGCTCTCTGTAACTCTTTCTGTGATCGTTGTCTTCAAAGCATCATGCAGCCTGCTTTTCCACTCAGAAAAGCGCTTTTAGAATATTATCTTCTGCATTGTCAGGACCATCCACTGGGAAGACGAAACTTGTGGCAGAAAGCCCTCCAGAGAATTCCCATTGATGAGTGTGTCTTTAGGGTCAGGAGGCTTTGTCAATAGAGGATAACCAAAATTAAAGAGAAGCCCGAGGAACTGTGTTTCAAAGGCAGTAAAAGAAAGAGACGTGGATTTGTGATAGCAATACTTATCATGGTTTATCCATACTGTATCCTAAAGTGCTGTATAAGGTCCTTTAGCTATCTTTATCCCCATTATAAAGATGGGGAAACCAAGACAGAGAGGTCACATGGTGAGTTAATGGCAGAGTTAGGAAAAGAATCAAGGCCTCCTGATTCCCAGTCAAGTGTCTTATCCAATATTCCACACTTCCTCCTGAGTGTCAGAGGTGCACTTTAGGTAATCATGCAAAAGTGTGGATGCCTCTTTGAAGCTTATATTAATTTTATCTGAATGTTGTTATCTGGAACCTCATGAGAACAGGCTTGATTTTGAGATTTCCAAGATGGCCCTATTTTCAGTTTGGTAAGGAGTATCTTTCTCACAGCTATTTTGGGATTTCCACTTCTCCTTCAGATAGAATCCAGGAACCATGAATGCATGAAAAAATTAAGTATATGCCCATGCCAGTTTCGGAAAATGGATAATGGTGGCTAAGAGGCTTGTCAGTCCTTAGCCTGAACAGAGACATATGAGTTGATATTACTCGATTGCTGCCTGTGATTGTCTATGTCTGTTCTGAGTGGAAGCCTAACTAAAATATGGGAATGTGTTTCCAGCCCATTTCCTCTACTTTCTGGTCTGATTGGATATAGGGGTAACTGCTTTTTCCCTGCTGCCCTGCATCAGTAGGTGGCACTCTTCTTTCTGAGTCAGTACTGAAGCAATGCCCCAGCTACCCCAGGGGATGGTGTGCTGCTTGTGTTTTTTATTTTTCTGGCGTCCCATATGTAAACTTAGGCTCCTGATAATTTCGAGTCATTAGCTGGCTCATTGCACTTTCATGAGAATAAGTATGTGCTGAGCAAATGTTAGTTTGTATTTTGCCTGCATCAGTTTCCCCTTCAAATTTCAATGTGCTCTGTTAATCTTTACGTCTTGTGCTAAGCTGTCATGTATTGTTGCTGTGCACTGTTGAGCAGCTGCCACAATCTTCCCCAGAGAGAGCTGCATTTTTGCAGTGGGTGAGGTGATTCGTTGTACAGAGTTTGTTAATCTCTTCTAGTGAAACGCACTGCATAAAAGAAAAAAAAATATTTTAGTTTATTTTCTGCTTGGAAGTACAGCCAGTATCCGTTACTCTCGTTTTCATATACATGTGGCAGCCCCACAAGTTGGCTTTTATAAAGAGATGTCTTACACATAATGATGAGGATAATTGTCATTGACCTCACAGCGTGACAGTTATTCAGGGGGATATCAAAGTATCTTTTAAACGCCCAGTAGCAAATCTTGAGAATCATATTATTTAAGTCAAAGTCTGTTGATTTATATTTTCTTCCCAATTTCCACCTTTTTTCAAATACTTGGGGCATTTGCCTGAATGAAGGTCTCTATTACTAAACGGTGAACTTTCTCCAGGGGCAAATTTCTGAATCCACAGTCCTGTTTGTGACATTGTAACCGGTTGCTGTAAAAGTGAGTGCAATGTCACAAACAGAAGACTTTAGGAGTGGAATCAGCAGAAGAAATACATTATTTTTTTAAAGGAACATCCTGGGAGATGTCTCTAGTAATTATTTAAAAAAAAAAAATGGTACAAAACAGCCTCCTGCCTAAAATATAAATAAAATACACATTTGAAATAACAGCAACATAGGGCTTAGTCTTTTATCTTGCTAAGCTGTGGAGTTATTTTGCTGGTAATAGCTGGAGAAAAAGTTTTTTGACATCTTAAATGAACTCACTGGGACAGCAGAATGAAGATTTGCTAGTATCCTCAGGAGAGGATTTTTCAAAGAATTCCTATTGACCAGATTTCGTATGTTAATGTTGACGGCACTGTTCCCTTCTGTATTAGTTAATTCTCTTTGTCTGGCAAGATTTATGCAATAGGTTGTGTACTGTAATTTCTATTCTGACACTAAATTTATATTTAGGTAATGCTTGCTATCTAAAATTCCTTCTCTGTGATTCGATAAGTTACTGATTAGTTTATGTGCTGTTCTCCTTCCTTACCTGGCTGAGGTGCAGTCATTTTCATTGTAAGCTTGCAGAAGTGTGATTAAGCTTTGGTGGTTGTTTTTAATATGCATTCCTGGGCCCAAGAGTAATGCAGGTGCTTTGATTTTCTAAGCTTCCATCAAAATTCTGTTTAAAAAGCACACACTGTTAGAATGCTTTCTGGATCTGAATGGAATGTGTTTGAAAGCTTCGGGGAAGCATCAGTTTGTTTTTAATGGCAACAGGAATGTTTACACGAATCTGATCTAGAACTGTGAATTGAAATGCACATTTATTACCACAGTTGTGTGTGTGTGTGTGAGAGAGAGAGAGAGAGAGAAATACCTGTGTTAACCATATACTAGATTGACTATATCTGTGCGTTTATCTGATTTTATATATATATAGAGAGAGAGAGAGGAGAGAGATGCCTATATATATAAAAAGATACACACAGACATTTTATATATATATATCAAAGAGATACACACACTTGCCTCTGCACATGAGGATGAGCCTGCACAAGTAGCTTTCCCTCATTTTGTCCCTCAGTAGGACCAGCCAAAGTGGGAAGCAGAGACTGTTGCCACTGAGAGGGGATATGGAAGGTGGTGTGGTGTGAGGATGGAGCCTGGGTGAGTGGACTTGGCCTGTGAGGGGAGGAGTGTGCACACCCAGCATCCTTCCGAAGGCAGGCAGGCACTGTCACTCCAGCCAGGGTTCCTCTAGATCCCCAGGAGGAATCCTGGCTGCATCAACCAAAACTCCTCCCCGGCCACAGACGGCCGCGCTGTTCCTCACCAGCCTTCCAACCCAGACAGTGGCTGAAAGCCACAATCTGGCCTGATTATACACCAGTGCCAAGAGGAGATGGAAGATGAAGGAAGTTAAAAGGAATGAAGGTGTTGGAATGAGTTATGGGCCACATCAGTCTTCCACATGTAGTGGGCATCACACCTGTGCTGGAGAAAAAGGCCTTGCCTCTTGTCACCGGGCCTTGTTTTCAGTGACGGCAGCTTCCGGACCATGTCAGGCTCAATTCACTGGGGGCATCAAGTCTCAGGTTTTGAACAGCATCAACTGTAATTAACAGGGAGAGGCTGCTATAATTTGGGAGGGTTTAGGCAACAGCTGGATGGGATGTTCAGCCCCTCTGGTTAAGGCTAGATGAATCTCTAGTCGCATAGCGTCCAGGGCCAGATTGCACCAATCTGCTTGAGAGCTGGGATTCTGTAGAGACATTTGAAAGTCTTTCCGTTTGGATTAAAAAATTTTAAAAAAGAGAAAAAGAGCAGCCCTGGGAGGAGCTAGTTTGTTCTCTTTATTTACGGCTAAATGTGTGACAGAAACGATTAGAAATGACTGTTAAGAGGAGACAGTCCTCTTCTGTGCAAATCATGAGAGCCCTTCACAATTGTTAATAGAAGCTGATTGACACTGCAGCCCCCCACCTTGCCTTACGGCACCTTTAAGGATCCTCCCACCAAAAGATCTCCGCAGTACTCCAGGAAGTGGTGTTGATGATCCAGCACATGGTGCTCTCCTCTCTGAGTCAGTACTGAGCCATTAGTCCAGCAGGGATGTACAGGGCACTGTGCTGGGTCTGCTGTCATTTTTCTGATGAGACATTAAACTCAGGATTGGACTGCGGCTAGTCATCAAAGCCACTTTAATGGCAGGTATTGCAAGGAGTTGTTAGGGGTGTTTGCTCCAGTGTTCTTGTTATCTTCTCTTTCCCTCCTCCCCCAGTTTCAGTAGGGCATGGTTTTGTTG